ACATGGTTTGGCCAAGTATTTTCTGCGGGACAGTTTTTGTCTGTCCGCAATCTCCTTATCGCGACAACAACATGATACTCTGGATGCCGCCTATATTGTTTAGGTTCACGCGTTTTGCATGTGACATTGAACAATGCGCAAGTATTTGGATTTGAGTTTCATCTGAGGTCATTACCATGTACATTTGGTAGATGATCGGTCCACAAGACGGTCGAGACCCAACCAGGTCGAAACAGCTGTCCACGGTTGCAATTATTGGCTTTCAGTTTGGACTCTAACATTATCTTGTCCCGTAAAGCTTTGGCTGATCAGATCTTTTACAGATCCTACGTTAACCGGCAGCATTTTCGTTGCAAAACCCAGCCGAAAGGAGCCCGCGACTTAGGTCGGACACGAACGAGCCTTAGCCAGATATAAGCCGGGGTCTGGGGAGAAATTGCAGCCAAGCCGCCTTGGCTTGATACCTGGTTACCAAGTTTGTTTTTTTTTTGTTCAAGCAACAAACATGGCGTCCTTGACTTCACGAAAACGATGTTTTGGGAATCGTAGAGAAGCACAAGAAGCCCACAACAAAATATTATTTCTTTGAAATGAAGGTAAAATGTCAAAATTACACGGCCTCGAGTAGTCTTGTAAAGTTGCTATTTTAAGAGGCGCTTGAATGAAGATTGCTTAACAAGCTTGATGTCGGAGAGATCTTCTTCGATGGAATGGCAACTTGAGGCGTTTGAAAGCAGGACGTCATTATGGAGACTAATTGAAGAGTTTGTGCCTGAAAGTGAAAGGCTAGAGATAAGAGAAGCCCTGGGAGAAGATTTAGTGGACGAGACTTTAGATCTGCAAAATGAGGTCAGTGGTTTTTTTCGAAATTGTATAATGTCTGACAAATTACATGCATGGATCGTCTAGTACCGTGGGTGGATGGCAAAAATCAGGAAAGGAAATCGTTGAATCTTACTTTTACGGTAATCTTTTATAGTAATTGCAAGTTTAGTACATTTATGTATCAGATTATTTAAGCTAAAGAGGGAAATACAAAGATGCCTCGATCTATATTTATTTAAAAATGTTTTGGTGAATTGAAAAATGAACTAAATGTAGAGCTGGAAATTCGGGATTGTGTTGGGGCAGGTACAAAGCACTGGTGACACGTCACAGGTCACTTTGGTCAGGCTGAATAACATTCAGGTTTGCCTTTTTATGGTTAGCTCCAGTGGGTGA